GCCCTTATTCTGGTTGATGGCTCCTAGGGATTGTTTTTATGGTCTGTCAATGCGTTTTCCTTCTCTTTGCCTTTGCCTTCACCTCCTCCTTTTGCACTCACTTTCTCTGTCCGTCCGCGAAGAGTGTGCGAAGCAAAACCGAGGAGACCACAGACTGTGATGCGTTGGTGTTGCCAAGAAAAGCAACCAAAGTGGATGTTTAAAACGAAGGCAGCCGTGCAGCAACAGCCTTGAGTGATAGCGCAGTATCTGTGTTTGTTCCCGTGTGCCATGTGTGTATGTGGGTATGTGTGTATGTGTGTGACCAGCGGAGCATGCAGGCAACATGCCACGCCATGCCAATCCAAGCCGGTGGCTACAAGTCCCGAAGTTGATGAAACAACACGTAGCCGAAGCCTTGGCAGCCACATCAGGAGGCGCACACAACAGAAATTCAGCCACAGAGCCTGGAAACAGTAAAGAGAATTAAGAACCATTCAAAATGAGTGTCACAACCATTAAATACCTAATTTTAAAGGTACAAATAGAACAAGAATGAGTAGTTTCGATTTATGTATGGATCACTATTGAAATATGTAGAAAACATATTGTACAATGAATTCTCAATGATATTTAAAGGTATCTGTTTACTTATTTGAAACTTAAATATGTGAAATATTATTTAAAAATTTTTATTAATTGAAGTACTCAAATAATATAGGAAAATAGTATTGCGTTTTAAGTTCGAAATCAATGTATATCATAATTTAGAATTTTGTTTTGTTAATTAATCAAAAATTATAAATATTTTAGATAAATTAAAGTGTTTCCTAAACTTCTCCTAATTATTCCTTTTCTTAAATTAATAAGAATAAGTAGTCATACTTTCCTGCTTTTCCCTGCAACCAATCTACCCCTGAATTTTACAATTAATGGGTATAAAAAGGAGCAAAAGCAGCTCTACACAGCGGCAGATTAAATCAGGTAGGAAATTTTCGTTCGAGTGGTAAATGTTTTGCACCTGCCGTTAGCAGCAGCCGGTTTGCCGGCTGTCTCAGCTGTTGCTCGTTGCTTGTTTTGGCCATGATGTTACCTTATTTTTTTTTAGCTGCTGCTGCTGCTGCCGTTGTCATTCAGATGATTAGTGCTCGGGCTGGAACTGCGCCTGCGCAGCGTTCTTTCATTTCGGGCAGATATTTTTGCAAAAATATCGCGTGCTTGCTGGCATGCCACAGAACCGGAACCCTGTCCTCGACTCGAATCATCTCATATGCATATATATATATATAGTATATATACATATCTTTATAATATGGTAGAATCTACAATGCCCTCAGCATGATGAGGATGATGAGAGGAGCCCTCATCATCTGCCGCCTGGCCAGAAAGGTAACGAAGTGGTCAGCAAGGGACAGAGATAAGAGACACCTGCTCCTTTGTTCGGGCATTGATTGTTGCAGTTTATTTCGAGAGTTTTAAGTCATTAAAACCTTCTAAAGTGCAGAATATATGCTATAGAATTTTTATTGAACTTATTTATACATTTTAAAGAACGATGCGTGTGGTTAATCTTTCTCTTTACCTTTTGAAAATGTAAATTTAAGAGCTCAAAGACACTTTAACCTTTACAGCAGACACACCTGAGGTTATTGCAAGTAGCTCCTGTGGCAAGTGCCCAGCGAGCATTAAATGGAGTACCTGGTTTTTAGCACCTGCACGGGACATTCGAGTAGCACTCAATGGGCAGTTACTGCAGGGAAATCCCCGACGAATATGAGTGCAAATGGAATTTGAACTCCATATTCTGGTTCTGAGTTGCACAAGTTAACAACTGGGAGCGAGGAGCAGCAGCAGCAACTACTGACTTTCCGGGCCATTACCTTAATATGCTGACCATAGCGTGAGCCATTCACTGCCACATTCAGCCACAATTCTTCGCATAAAAGCCAACAATATAACGGGCGACAATGAAACAAATGCTCAAAGGGGTTTTTTTTTTTGTTTATTTCGGAAAGGGGCAGGGAAAAGTGCTTCCATGCAAATGGTGGCAGCCACCACTCCCAGGTGCAATGCCCCCAACCACCCCTGAATGCATTCTGCTGCTGCTGCTGCTGCTGCCGTGTGCAACAAGCTAGAACAGAATGACAACAAACAAAGGCATCAAATTAAAAACTAAACTGCGTCCACTCAAAATATGCAAACAGCTCAGCCGGATGGCGTAGCCAGGGGATGTGTTTTGGGCCATGCCATGCCATGCCTGTGGATGTGCATATAGTAGATGTGGACACGGCTGGGATGTGCATGTGGTCAACGCTTGATTATGCAGCCACGTCGTCCATTGATGATGGCCACCACAAAAGGGGTTTGGCCATCAGCTTGTCCTCCACTGGCTGGCCCATTGCTGCTTCCTGCTTCCACAACGTCGACGAGAGTACATTAAAAAGTAAAACCAAAATGAAATAATACAAATAGAACAAGAGCTTGTACAACGAACAGGGGAATACTCTTAAACACTCTTGCCTGTTTAATAAATATTAGTAGTTTCTGAGGGTATAGTGAAGTTTTTCCTTTTTAGGTTTAAATAGTGAAGAAAAGAAGAAAATACTGTCAGAAAACATTTTTAAAAGCGTTTTACAGTGACACTTGTTGGTGTGTGAATAATTTTTACTATATCACCAAGACAGTAAGTGTAATAATTTTTATAGATAAACTTGAATATAATTTACAGGATTTTTACAAGAATCTCAACCTTCTACATTATCGAAGCTGCACGGTTTAAAAAATGTAATCTTTATTGGCTTGATTAGAGTTTCTTTTCCTCAAAATAATAAGCAGCTCAAAAAAACATGTAATACCTCCTTTTGCGAGGGTATAAAAATATTGCAAATTGCAATACAGTGCCGGCAAGTGCCCGCAATGGCAGACTGTTGTTGCAACCCCCTCGCCCACTTACTCACTTACGTACCCCTTTTTCCAACCCCCCACCCCCTAGCCTGCTCAGCGAAGCGTGCACTCCATTCAGCTGACCCCTGACCCCCCCTTTCACCTCCTCACCCCCATTATATTTATAGGGAACGAAAACTGGTAAAAATGCATAGCTTACAACGCTTTTTTCGGTGCGTAAGGCGCCATTTTTGGCATATTTCTGTCGCACTTTTCCTCTTTTAAGCTCTACCATTTTCCCGGCCTATGTGGGATGTCCTTTTCGCCCCTTTCCCTTATAACCGTGTTGCAACAATGCAGGAATTGTGGCTTACGACCAATTCAATAGCCTTACTGCTCCCTTTTTTTGCCACTGACTTTTGCGACCGTATGCACTTTGAAACCTTTTTCCGGCGTTTTTCACCGCAGAATATCATCGGAATGACCTCCACTAATCCTGGCCTATAAAAAGGATGGCAAGGCTAAAAACAAAATAAAGATTTGGGTTTGTATGAGATGGAAAAAGCTTAAATGGTTAAACAATTTTTTATTGAACAGCAAGTAAGTTTGTTATGAAAATAGTACTTTTTTTTGAGTAATATTCATGAATGGTATTATCTCTCCTTACAGAGGATTAAAATGCAGTGAGCAAGGCTATCCAATCAGCAGCAGCAGGCTAACCGATCTAGCCACAGCTGATTTAAAAACTCTCTTTCATTTAATTTTCGAAACATAGAACTATTTTTAATACTCTAAATTCGACTAATAACTATACCTTTTCTATATTTAAAGAGACACTCAATAAATGGCAGCTTAAATTCTGGAACAAATTCAAGGAATGGAAACTAGTCTTACCTACGACTTCTTTGTGGGAGGTATTTTCCAGCAAATGGGGATAAGAAACCCTGAATGCACCTTTGATGTGAAATCAGAACCAATTATTATTTCCGCAGCTGCTGCCTACGTAAGATATCGTAGACAAAGGCTGCGTTCTGCTGCTGCATTTTCCTTTTGTTTCGCGCTATGCTATGTTTATTCCATCAGGTCCTTGTAGCTACCTTTCAGCTTGCTTCTTTCGCTTCATCTTCTACTGCTTCACCGATGACTTTTTCCACTGTTTCTTTTTCGGAGCACGTCAACATGTTTTCGCACTTTTACGTCTGCCTTTTGGGGCCTAAACATCTGCCGTTTGCAATGCAGTCTGTCGTTGTTGTTTTGTTGTTTCTTATTGTTGTTGTTGCAGTTGCTGTGCATTCACCGCAAGCGCGCCATGTGTCAGGAGCAGGGAAAGAAAAAATAAATAAGAAAAGAGTGGCAAAAGGCAGGGGAAATAGGCTGTCCGCCATTTTGAGTTGCTTTCTTTATTTATTTATTTTTTTTTTGTTTACTAGAGCGAAGAGTAAATATACATAGATGATCTTTAACAATAACAATAAGTTATTTTCGGCAGCCACTTACTCACTTTTTCTTCTCTTAAGAGCGCTCTCTCTTATCAGCTCCCTTCGATTGCTTGTTGCATGCTCTCTCTCTCGCCACTACACCTCCTCGGCACAGGTGCGAGCAACCACTTCGTGCTCCCTTTGAACTCTTCGTGTGCTCTCTCTCGTCGAGCTCCGACCTCTGCCGAGGCATCGGCCTCGTGGCTCTATATAAGGAGGAGCATCCGACGCGCCGCTTCAGTCAAAAACTACCACTCGCCTTGAAAACATACCTTGGAAAATAAACCGGAAGTGCTTTAGTGCTTGGTGCGAACTGTCGGTTGGCCACAACAACAAAGTGTTTAAAGCAAAAACGAAAACAAAGCGGATTAAGCCCGAGGCGAGCTACAGGAATAATTGTAGCATTGTTTGCCAGCGCCTTTTTATAAGGTGTTTGACTGTCACGCCGCCGGGAAGTCGGAAAAGCGAAAAAGCGGAAAGCCGGAAAGTCTCGAGTCTCAAAGTTTGTGTGTCGGCGGTATGCGTGCCAGTCGTTTGCATAAATCGCCCTTGCCTGTGCCTGTGCCCGTGCCCGTCTAAGTCGAGTCCTTTCTTTTTCGTTATTACCCCCAAAAACATTCCGTGGCAACCGAGAAGGAAAGCAAAGCAAAGCCTTCGCGTGAGCATCTAAATTGCCCCTGCAACAATGGCAGGCTCAAATGGTTTGCGGCTAATCCTGCTGGCGGCGGTGATCCTGCAGGTCGTTGCCTGGCGGCGACGGCAGCGACGTCGGCTACCAGTGGCACGGTGGTGGTGCTCAGCGACGTGAACAACATGTTGCGCGATGCACCAAGGCCACCGCCTCATCGAAGGATGTCAGGCCTAAAACGGAAACGGAGGCGCCAGAGTCCAGCGTGGAGCTGCTCCGTTTTGTGGAGGATGAAGAGGAGGAGCGCGATGAGGAGCAGGAGCGGGATTCGCGAGAGCAGAAGGCACTGGGCGACAGGTGCGCCTGCTGACCAAACAGCTCGGCGCCCTGATGCTGCGGCGCCGCGAGGATTACGAGATGCTGGAGCACAACCTGCGCAAATCCCTGCGGCTCACCACGAATGCGGCCAGCGCCGATTCTGGCCTGCGCGATGAACTGAATCAGCTCAGGTAAGTCAAACGCACGCCCACCTGTCCGCCGAAATTGAGCTCACTAGCTTCCGGTTCCCAATCGAATTTGAATTGTTAATTAGGGCGGAGGACCGACTTGCCATTGGTCAATTGCTCTCGCTCGAAACTTGGCTCGAAACTTTACCGCAGTCACGTACAACTTGTCGCGCAACTTTTGGCCAACGAATTTATGGCCCTCAAAAGCAGGCAACAGTTTTTAGCCATTCAATTTGGCTAGAGAAAAGTCTTTTTCCTTTTGCAAATTAAAATGTCTTTCAAATTGAATTAAGTCGTCGAGTAATTAAAAGAAATCTGGAATATTTTGCTTAATTAACTAAAATTCCAACTATTCATATTTATCTTGTAAATTAATTACAAGCAGATGTATTTTCTTTACTTTATCCTTACGCTTCATTATTAGATATCTGTGCGTCTCGTAATGACCTGCATGTTTTTCTTTCCCAGACGGATGATATGATTATTCTGCTTATTTGATAGCGAGATAATGAACTGATATTGTTGTAGAGTTTTTCCTAACATTTTCATACATTTCCCCCCACCACAATCACTTCCACTACTAACCGAGCCCGAGGTCAGTGCAATGAAGAAAGGAATTCGAATGCGGGACATGATTGTGTCCAGCTTAATTCAGACAAATATATGAGCAAGGAGGAGTTTGGGAACAGGATAAGACATCTAATCAGAGCAAAGACACGAGCCACAAGCCCAGCCCAAGTTTGCGTAGCATTCGTGATTTGTTTTGTTGTCATGGGCTGACTAATAATGATTGTCTCATCGAGCAGAACTCACACACACACACACAGAGTACACACCATACACACTCACATATATCAGTTTAGGAACCGGAAATACGAGTATCTCCGTGGAAATACGCTGGCCAGCCTTGTGTCTGTGGCAGCGTAAAAAATACGTAAAAATGGCACACTCTTAATTTACTGTACAAATAGCTAAGGTTAGACCATTGTTGTTGCTGTCGTGGACATCGTAAACTTTGTCAGTGACACCGTAAATAATTCAACACACGCTCATGTCAGCCACATGCTGAGAAATAGATGTTTTCTTCATTAGGAAATTAAAGAATTTATAGATAAATTGTGTGGGGATTAAATTAACTTCCACAAAAAGAAGGTAAGAACTTATATTGAAGTTTTTCGATCATGGAATTCCATTAAAGTTATGTATAAAGTATATGATAGTATGACTTTTTGAAAGGATTACAGTAAACAGCACCTTAATCTCCCAATTTAGTCATTGGATAAAGAATTAACCTCTTTATAAGTCGAGTTCCTTTCTTACCTATTTCCATCTCTCTGTAGGACATGACTTACTACCATTTAAATATATATGTATATATCAATTTTCCTAAGCTCCCTCCCAAAACTCTGACTTTATTTATTATTTACTAGCTTTTCTTTTTACCTATCCCAAAGTTAGCTAGATTTTTGCCTCTGTGTCTTCTTTCACGAACACGTTGGAGTATGTGTTTCCAGACAGGACAGACACTCACATAAATGTATAAGGGCAGGAACTCCCAAGGCAAACGCCAGTCAAACGTCATGTCAGTTGTGGTTTATGTGATCCTCTATCGCCACCGCCCCACAAACCGCCGTCCTTCCACGAGTCCCTATTCACCTGGACCAGTGAAAGCGTCCTAGAATGCCAGTGCCTAACCCCAAGCTTTGGTGGACAACATCATTATCTGATTGGGCGCACTAGCGTGTGTCCTTTTCCGTGTCCTGTCCCGTGTGCGCTATGTTGATTTGAGTAAATTCGATAACATTCGCAGTGACTGCGGATGAAAGTGGCGGCACTGCATCCATTTTGGTAATTAAAATGAGGACTACACGAAATCAGGCGTCATCAAATCAGGGCCGATGAAGTTCGGCATTGCAATGTTCATGTTGCGTTTTCAATTTGCTCGCATGTCATTGACAGCATTTTCAATTTTCACTTGAATGACAGCCCAGTTTGCCATGTTTTCTTTTTGTTTCTTTATTTATTTTTTTTTGTGTTACTTCCTATGTGTGTATTTCCGGGCGGGAGGGGGTCGAGTGTTGTGCAGCAGCAGTCAAGCGAAAAATTGCCAGGAGAGTTCACAAAAAAAATACAAAAATAACAGCAGAGAAGGTTAATACACGAGTCCTGTTGGTTTTGGCCATCGGACGTCTGTTGTAGCAATTGTTTTGAACAGTAATGCACATTTGCGAGGCTTTAAAATATGCTTAAAAAAGCGATTGTATTTCCGACAATGTTTATTTTTCAAGTTTCAGGGCAGTTTACGCATTTAATGCGCCCAAAAACTTTTTAAACTCTACTCGAGGCCCCGAGGTCTGGACCTCGTATTTTAATTAAATATTTAAGTAATTACGTTGCTCTCCTACATACATATGTATGTATGTATATGATGTATATATATAGAAAACAACAAACAGGATATTGCGAAACCCTTGCTGGGGGGAATCATAACTTTACCCACATTCTGCCGGCTGTCTGTCTGTCTCTTTCTGTCTGGCCGGGGCCACAAAACTTTGCCAAGTCATAAAATTAACAAAAAACACCCACCGACCGCACACACACGCACACACGCACAATGCAATGCAACAATTTGAAATATTACGTATACGCAACCGAAATAAAAACCCAACCAAATGTGATGTATGTACATCAGGCCAAGCGCAGAAACTTTTCCTTCTTTCTATATTTCTTTTATTTTATTTTTTTTGTTCCCCCGATTTTCTTGCTCTTCTTTATTTTTATATGAAAATTTCATGTTGTGTGTGAGTGTGTGTGTGTGCGCTTTTGACAGTAGAAAATAAAACAACAGCGACTGCCTGTCGCTGCCTCCCGAAAACAAAACTTTTTACCTACGCCCCGAATTTGTTGAGCTCCTTTTGCTGCTGCTGCTGCTGCTGCTGTTTCCGTTTCCGCTTCTGGTTCTGTTCCTGCTTCCAGCTTCCAGCTTCCTTCCAACTGACTACTTTAATTGTCTGAAATGCCACAAAAATGCGTCCTGTTTTGGAGCTTCTTGCTTTTTTTTTGGTAGCAGCAACTTGCAACTGCCACAAGTGCTATAACATTTTCATTTTCAACATTTAAGCAATGTTGTTGTTGTTTTTTGCGGCATGTTCCTTGTTGAAAGTTTGTATTCCGAATGACTTGTGTGATTTTTGTTGTGTTCTGTTTTCAACGAATGTTTGAAATAATTTTGTAGTGTTTAATTTGAGTGCTGCATGGAAATTGAGCGCCACATCCCGCCAGAGCGCAGTGTCCTGGCTGCGAAATCCCATTAGTGAACCGCATGCAGGCCGCATTGGCAATTAAGTTAGCCGACAGCCCGAAAATGTCAATTTAAATTAGATTTGCTGGTCAGGCCGTTCCAATGTACGAGCAATTAAATTGTTACGTTTAATCGTTTTACCTCCTGCTAATTAGAGACTTTTTTTTGCACAATGTTTTCAGGGAGGAACTGGCCACGCTCCGGTCCTCGCAGAGTGGCAACAAGGAGCGCCTAACCGTCGAGTGGCTGCAGCAGACAATCTCCGAGATACGTAAGCAGCTTGTGGATCTGCAACGCACTGCCGGCAATGTGGCCAAGGATGTGCAGCAGCGTAGCACCACCTTCGAGGACCTGGCCACCATCCGAAGTGACTATCAGCAGCTTAAGCTCGAGCTGGCCGCTCAGCGCGAACGCCAGCAGCAGACGGAGGTCTATGTCCAGGAGCTGCGCGAGGAGATGCTGCAGCAGGAGCAGGACTTCCAGCACGCTCTTGTCAAGCTCGAGCGGCGTCACAAGGATCCCAAGGAGCGCAGCTCGGCCAGCGTGGAGGAGGAGAGCGGCAGTCAGGAAGCCGCCAGCCAGGAGGTGAGTACCCACTTTATGCTAATGATCAGATAAGCACGCAATGGCCAAGGTAAAAGAGGCAATGCACTGGGAGAAAAAATTTGGCATCTTAATGGGTGGTTAATAAAGAAAAGATGTTGTGGTACTGGATATTAAATATTTAACACAATTTCTTCATTGACAAAATCTCTGATTAAACATTCAGTAAATTTGTTTCCGGGAAACTCTAAAAAATCTATGTTTTTATAAATGGAGGCTCCTTTATTCAATAGTAATAATTCCTTTGTCAGTTAATCAATCCCTTCCATTTTTTTCTCAGTGAGCAAGGAGTTATGAATAATTCAAGTTGTGAAGAAAATGCCACTGAGTTATACCTTTTCTCTGTGTGCTTTTTTATGGCCACCAAAAGAGAGCCGCCGCTTTGTTTTGTTTTCGCTTTAAGTGCGGGACCCATAAAGCGACCGCCAACCTGGCGGAGCATTATCTGGCCGTTTTATGCCTTATTTTATACAACCATCCCTCTACCAACTCTCCGCCAGGTGAGCGAGCCTGGTTGGGAAGGCTTTTGGTTTTTGGGGAGACGAAGGACTGTAAGCGACATGATGTGCTAACGAGTGGGAGGTTGACTCTGGCCCCCTTTTGCCCTTCTGCGTTTTAATGGCCTGCCACATACGTTGCCCAAATTACTCATACGCACCGCAGGACGTTGCCGTATTTAATATTTAATGCCAAAGTCGGGCCTGGCCTGCCTGGCAGCCACTTAGCCTTCACGTTCAATGCCTTAATATCCTGGGGCCCGGGCGCATCATAAAGAGATTGCTGCAAATGAAGCCATGATCGGTGGCATCCTTTCGTCAGTGTCCTGGCATCCATGTGGAAGGTGGCCTGCAGCCTGGGCGGACACTCGTGTCAGGCTTAGAGTGAATGACGGGAAATAACTCCAAACAGGAGCTCAGTTCAGTCAGAAATCGGATCTGCAGCTGAAGGATTTCAGTAGGGCACACATACGCACACCCACTGCCTTCTTAATTATAATTAATGTCAATAAAGGGATAGCAGCAGCGGGGGAGCAGGAAAAACAACTATCAAGCGAGGCAACAATGGGCAACTTGGAGTGAAAACAAAAGGCAGCTGCTGTTAACAGGTAAAGCCACAGCAAACAGGAGGTGGAGCAGGAGCAGGAGCAGGAGCCAGTAACAAGCTCCTGGTTGCTTCATTAAAAGGATTATGCGTCGGGTAGTCCGCTCCAATATGGATGCAAGGGAATACGGCAAAAGCGAGTGCAGTTACGTCGCCATTCGACCATCAACAAAATGTGTCAGTGGGGCCCTTTTACCCTCCGCTCATCCATTCCCATACCCTTTGCTTTCGGGGAGAAAAAACAGCCATCAAAACTGGTTCAGCTGCCACCTGTTTTGATATCGTTTCTCGACTTCTCAGCTCCTTCAGCGTTTTATTCACTCCACTTTGAAGTTTAGCTTTTGCGAAATTTGCTTGCTTAGAGGAATTATTTTGCCAGCAAAATTCGCTTGCTCGGTGGGAAATTGTATATTTCGGCTTTTGTGTCTTGGTTGGTTCGCCCACAAAAGCGAAGGAAATTTCCACAAGCTAAAGCTAAAGCAATTACGTGGCGAGAGAGTCTCAAAAAGGGCGAAATAGAAATTTAAGAAAAAATATAAGATATAATCTGAGGGTTAAGAATGTGCTTTACCCCTTGAATGGGTTTGAAATTGAGATTTTCCAGTTCAAGAAATCGATGAATATTAAGGAAAAGTGTTTTGTATTTAATCCCAATTTCTATCGAAACTTATATGGAAACTGTGAGTGAAATTTGTCTTCTTTATGAATTCCTTCTGGGTCTTACTGGCTTTCTAAATAAACATTTTTTATAGATTTTCTACGTTTTAATTACTATTGCTTTGGTTTGGTAATTAAAGCCATTTCTGGGCCATAACTTAGGCACACTCCTTTGGCATCGATTTCGAAGCATCTTTAGTCGCTCTTACCCAATGACCAATATACCCTTGAGACTCCTTTAAGTACCAAAGGGGATTAAGTGTTCACTCGGGCAGCTTAAGCCGCTTTCGCTGGACCTCAGAGCAGCACACATTCTCGTATATATATATATCCATATATCGTCGTCATCGTAGCTTGTGTATGTTTATATATCATTAATGGGCAGGCCGTTGCCGAAATATAAAGCGAAATTGCTGAAAATTGCAAAACAAAAGGCAGGAAATCACCTTTTAATCGCCCGTCGGCCAAAAGGCAGCGATGGCAATGGGGGGATTCACTGGCCAGTCGCCAGCTGCTCCAAGAACTGGCTTAGGTTCAGTTCAGTTTGATGGACAGCTGAAGGAGGAGGAGGATGAGGAGCAGGCTCCATGTTGTTGCCTTTTGTCTCCTGTCTTGCCAAGTTTTTGGCAGCCGGAGAGTCGGACTTGGATGGAGATGGAGCAGATGCTCTCAAGTGCTCCGATAATCAGTTGTGCCCCTCTGTGTATCTCCACATTGTTCCCTCGATGCTCGCGATGCTTCAGCACAATTTGATCCTTTTCATTACTTTGCTGGCTCTTTTTTGTTTTGTTTTTTGTTTCCCAGGCCACAGAGCCCTTCTTTTGACCATCAAAAACCAGTTTCAGTACTTTCCCACAAGCAAAACCAAAAGCAATTTTGAAAATTGTTATTATGGAAGCGCAGCAAAGCAGAAATTAGGTTAAATTAGAACAAAGAGCAGAGAGCAGATAACAAAGGCCAAGCCAGATGGGGAAAAAAGGGAAAAGGGGAGCCAAAAAAATAAAATAAAATAACAGGCAAGCCAGAGTAGCAGCAAAATAAATAAAAATACAAACAATAAAATTGCACAGGTGGCCGCCACGAGAAAGGAATACCAGAGCCAGAAAAAATAGACAAAAATGCTTTTGGTTTTGGGTCTGTGGGTGGTGGTGGTGTGTGTGTGTGGCTGGTTAAATTTAATCAACTTTTCTATATTTGATTAGTCGGAACCACAAAAAATACAAAAAAAATGTACAGAAATACTGTACAAAGGCGTGGGAATTGAAAGTTATGCAAAAACCAGAGAAACCTTAGGGACGACTCTAGGCAGAAACCAGAGACACTGAATTCCAAGAAATGCCTCGAAGAAATATTAAACATAAATAAATAAGGGAAAGTCAAGGGAAAACCAGGAAAATATGCCAAAAGGTTGCTATGGCGCATTCTTGAAAGATAAAAATCACATATCCCTTAGCAATTGGCCAGTGTAAACACTCTGAAACATAATTGAATATTCTTGCTGGGGAAATATAATTAACTGACTTGAGTTAATACCCAAATAAAACTTGGCCAAAAGTCAAGACCCAAAAAGGTGACAGCAAAGCATCTGCAGGTGACAGGACAGGCAGGATTTCAATATATATTTGCACAACTCTAATTGCAAACTGTCTGCAGGACTGATGATGCCTTCCATATGTACATGTGTTATGTGTCCAGGCATTATGTAACAAATGGCTTTGATGAAAGCTGTCACTTGCAACAGTTGGGCCCAGAGATACGAGCGATACGAGAAAGGAACGCAAATGTTTATCATTGGTTATTGATGCTCCTCCCTGGGCTTGGGCATAGGTATATTGTACGCATGAGAGACTGGCTGTTAAATTAGCAGGGCAAACAAATGCCAGGCAGGAGCAGGAGCTGGAGCAGGAGCTGGAGCAGGCGCACACCCCGAAGGCAGTCTGACACGGAGGATCTGGTTTCGGTTTCAGAATACAACACACACAAACTAAGGCGAAACCCCGACTCTCCACATCCAAACATTTTTACCTTATTTATGTTGATATTTGTTTGCTTTTGTTTCATGTTACATACCATCCATTCTCTCCATATGTATACTCCTTATACTCCTTCAACTGGCACTTCTGCTGCTGTTTCTGTTGCTGGCAATTTGTTTGATTGTTCAAGAGCAGGAGCAGGAGCAGCTCGATGTTTGTGTTAGCCCTTTTTCAGCCAGAATATTCCTCTTATATACCTGATATTTATTTCATGAGTGAAATTATTTTTATTGATACATTTGACAGGGTACTCTCCTCTCAGAGGAGGCTCAAGGAGTCTCCGATTTCCCAGCAAGTGCCTCTTTTCAATTTTCTGAGAAGCTTCAACAAAAAAATTAAATGTGCTTTTGTGGTAGAAATATGTTAGTTGGAATTATGCCCACGTCTGCCAGTTTCTTTCTTTTTTTTGTGGCCAGGGATCAGGTTGACGTTGACTTTGAGGTCGTCCTGGTCATGTCCTAGAGAGAACGAGAACAGGCTTTTCCTACTGCCCCCCCGAATGCGCATTAACTTAATGGCATTTTGTGGCGCCCTCGTCCTTGCCCTATCTTGTGCTGAGCGTAACTTTTTCAAGCATCGCACAAAAGTCCTATTAAATTTTTACGACAATTCGCCGTGGAGCAGGACGAAGCAGGAGCAGATTTCTGTGCTCTTTTCTATGCGATATGCAGCCATTCGCATCCCCTTTGGAATCGCTGTCGCGCTAATAGCAAATCCTTGTTAGCTTTCACTTAAGTATGGCATGTAAAATTTCACTTTTAATCCATGAGCCAGGCAGGCGGTCCTTTTGTTATGGATGGAAATTAATTAGTTCAGCAGGTCCTGCTTCCTGCTTCCTGCTCCCTTGTTTATTACTTAACACATACACACACAGATATACACAGGCAATCTTTGGGTACACGGAAAACACTTCAATATTTATGCTTCAATTCGATTCAATTAACGCGGCCATTGGCCACACACACACACACAGACAGAAAAGAAAATTCATTTGTTAGCTGGAAGTTGTGTCTCCGCTGCGGGAAATTGAGCTGCATAAATCACATTTAATTATACCGTTGATGGGCGAAATTTATATGCCAGAGCAGTGTGGCACCTTTCCGCCTTCGATATACATATATACATATATATATGCTCGTTCCGTATATATATGTTATATTGAGGATTTCTCCGTTTGATGGCCACTTCCCGTCTCGGCCAGAGTTCATATAAAACGCGAACGTGTCGTATTAGCCGCGTTCGTGACCTTTCACATAAAACAACGCCAGGGAGCCGCAGCCCAAGGACCGCTATGGAACGTGCGTGAAGGCAGAGCAAACAAAAGAGAGAAAAAACAACAACGGGGAAAGCGGGAAAAAAGGAAAAGCGCCAAAAAAACACACTGGCCCCAGCAGCCCCCAAAGTGTTCGATGCCGTCGCCGATTGAGGCACAAACGCAGCTCGGGCATAAATATTCATGAATATTTTCCATATTTCTGTTGATCTTCTGTTGCCTTTTCGCCAAACGAATAATTGAATTTGATTTTGGAGGGGACGCGGGTGTGTGATGCTGGCCAAAAAATATTTCGTAAAATGAAATACATTTACGTGTGACTTGTTCCGCGTATCTCTGACGGACGGAGTAAGTCAAACAGTGAATCAATTTGAGTGAATTTTCCTTGAAGCCAAATAGTGCAGGCTTAATAAACATATTTTGCATATTATTTACTTATTTTCCAAGAGGAATAATATGCATAAAGAAAGTCAATCAAGAGGAATTTCAATATGAAGAGTTTCTCTTTTAATTGGGGAAAAGTGACTTTTCTCTTGTCAGTTAAGCCAGGGTCAAGGCAAACGAAAAAGCTTTGAAAGAGGGAATTAAAATGAGTAATTAATTTATCTTTCCCTTCTTCTTTTTTCGTTACCCTTTTCTGAGGAATATATATATATATATCACAATTGCGACACAAACACAGACGGGTTCCATTCATACACTCATTGCATTCATTAGCAGGACACTTTCTGCCAGCAAGCTAGCATCCTTTATTAGTCAATTACTCGGGGACATTTCTATGACGGATGGCCATCACGAGCATCGTGAATGAAAGGATAACCAGAAAAACGTACCGAGTGGGAGAGATACTGAGAACCCACACAGATCCTCTGGCGATGTGGGCTATGCATTCATTGAGAACGCCATGAATGTGACCCAAATGGCATTACCTTGGTTTACACGGCTACAACAGCTCCACGCTGTCGCTATCGCTGTCGTCGTCATCGTCGCTGTCACTCTGCAAAATTATTTCTATGCATATTGTATGCATGTGGAAATTTATGCAGCTTTTACCACCGAGCGCCAAGGGATGCATCTCCGGCTAAGGGGGATGCAAATCCAGCGAAGGCGGCATCAAGCAGCTTCGGGGATTTACACGCTTTGGGCAAAGCTGCAGCTTGAGCTGCAAGCCCTGCTGCAGCTGACATTATTGTTGCAGATTCCAGGCTCCATGCTCCACGCTCCACGCTCCATGCTCCTCCTGGCTCATCCACTCATCCCATCCGCCCTACCCATATGCAACATGCTCCGCTTGTCTGCCTGGTTATGAAATGCATTTATAATAAATGGATTTAGCATTCAATTCCCAGCACATAATCCTCGCCGCGAGTAACAAAAGAATCTCGGCCAGCTTACAAGCACTTCCCGCTCATCATTCTCGGGTGTGACTTTCTTTTGGGAAATAAAATAGGAACAATTAAATGAAATTTTTCTGGGAAGACTGGGTTAAGGGAAAACATCCAGAAACAACTTAAATTTAACATGTTTGAATTGAAAAGATAAACTAGAGTTAATAATTACTATTTCGTAGCTCATTTTTATTAAGTTTTTTCCCTCTTTTCATTCACTTCCTTCCAGTCCAATGGCCTGGAACTCTCTGCCGATCACAAGCGACGTCATTGCCGCTTCCAGAGCGAACAGATCCATCAGTTGCAGCTCTCCCAACGCAACCTGCGCCGCCAGGTGAACGAGCTGAGGTTCCATCACATCGACGAGCGTGTGCGCAGCATCGAGGTGGAGCAGCATCGCATTGCCAATGCCAACTTCAACCTGAGCAGCCAGATTGCTGCTCTGGACAAGCTACACACCTCCATGCTGGAACTGCTTGAGGATGTCGAAGGACTGCAGACGAAGATGGACAAGAGCATCCCAGAGCTGAGGCACGAGATCTCCAAGCTGGAGTTTGCCAATGCACAAATCACCTCGGAGCAGAGTCTGGTGCGTGAGGAGGGCAAGAATGCAGCCCGATCCTTGCAGGCCATGGCCGTGAGTGTGAGTGTCCTGCAGGAAGAGCGTGAGGGCATGCGCAAGCTGACAGCCAATGTGGACCAACTGAGGACCAATGTGGATCGCCTGCAGTCACTGGTCAATGATGAGATGAAGAACAAGGTGGGTACTTGAACTAGGATCTCATTTGGATACTACTAGAACTTTGCATTGGATAGAAAAGTAATATATTGTTTGATTTCTCACTAATTAAAACTTTCTCCTTTTATTTCTCTTGCTCTCCTGCAGCTCTCGCACTTGAACAAGCCCCACAAGCGACCCCATCATCAGCAACTGCAGCTGAATCAGGACCAGGAGCAGGACTCACACATAGACTCCGCCCTGGCCGAGACCCTGGTCAGTGAACTGGAGAATGTGGAGACGCAGTATGAGGCAATTATCAACAAGCTGCCCCATGACTGCAGCGAAGTGCACACCGAGGCGGATGGACTGCATCTCATTGCACCCGCTGGTCAGCGTCATCCCCTGATGTCCCATTGCACTGCCGATGGCTGGACGACAGTGCAGCGTCGCTTTGATGGCAGTGCCGACTTCAACCGCTCCTGGGCGGACTATGCCAAGGGATTCGGTACGCCTGGCGGTGAATTCTGGATTGGGAACGAGCAGTTGCACCATCTTACCCGGGACAACTGCAGCCGGCTGCAGGTGCAGATGCAGGACATCTACGACAATGTCTGGGTGGCGGAGTATGCCCGCTTCTACATCTCCTCACGGGCCGATGGCTATCGCCTGCAGATTGGCGCCTACACGGGCAATGCCTCGGATGCCCTTAATTACCAGCAGGGAATGCAGTTCTCCGCCATCGACGACGATCGCGACATCTCGCAGACGCACTGTGCTGCCAACTATGAGGGTGGCTGGTGGTTCTCTCATTGCCAGCACGCCAATCTCAATGGGCGCTACACCTGGGCCTGACCTGGTTCGATGCCGCTCGCAACGAATGGATCGCGGTCAAGTCCAGCCGGATGCTGGTCAAGCGTCTGTCCGCCGCCGAGTGCCAAGCGAGCGTCGCTCCCGCCGCTTTCGCTTCTGCTTCGCTTCCGCTTCCGTTGCGCCACCGACGGTGGCAAGCAGGACAGCGAACACGGCGGAAGCCACGACGGGAGCGACGCAGCCGAGCGGCGTGGTGCAGTTCGTGACCGAAAGGCAGGCGTAAGTGAGCTGTTTTCCCGCCAACTCCCCGGAGGGGGGAAAACTGCTACAGTGAACCACCAGAGCCATGCCTACTATAGTTGGCAGGGCACTGTTTGTCTACAAGATCTAAAAGATCCCGCGGCAGGATCCCGCCAGTGTAAATAATCAGCGGATCAGACCTAAGTTGTAGCATTAATCTTTGAACGGAGCTTACACTCACACTAGGCGTATGCGTAATTTAGTTGGCCAACAAACCAGACCCCCAACCCGTTCCACCCATATTCCACCCGTATACATATTCGATTCTTCGGTCTTTCAACAAGATCTCATAGAGGCTTAAGTTCCGCAGCAGCAAGTGGCTCAGACCAGACATGGAGCCAGCGGGAGCATATCATTTGAGAGAGTGCAGAGTTAATGTCTAGACATAATCGATCCCCAACCCCCAAAAAATCCCTAAAGATAGAACTAAAACTTAAACTAAAACTAAAGCTAAAGCTAATCTAGTGGTAATGTGTAAAAGAGGCCTACTCCGCTTAGGCCCATCTCAGACAAATAATAATATACATATATACGGCGGATCACTTGCCGCAGCATTAGGTTCTAGTTGTAGCTATTAAGGCCACCATATCAGTCATATGAGGTATACAACCACTAGGAATAGCGTTGAGTAAATATGTACTTGTAATTGTTGTACCATAAAATAGTTTCTCCGTGCTTGCTAAGTGTCTGCTTCAGTCCAAGTCAAGTTTAAGCCCGAACCTAAAACCGAAACCGCCCTTAAAATAGAACCGATGGAGAGTCGCATGCCAAAGAGATCGAGTCAGAAATAGTGACAGCAGAATGCCAGTTTATATGAGAAGCACAAATGACTATTTTCTGCAGTTTTGCATATACCAAAACAAAGAAAAAACAAACAAGAAGGAAAAGAGCGCGGGGCAGAAACCACAAGAGCTAATTAATTGCATTTAGCACTTAAGTTATAAACTATATGATTATTATGTATACATTAATTTTATGTCCTGTAAATTAAGCAACTGAAAACGGAAATGCCAGAAAGCCGGAAAGCCGGGAAGCCAGACCCCCGCTTGGGTCCTGAATACCGGCGCATTTTACAATAAATGGATTGATGTGAAAAGAAAAACCCGTGAAGAAAATATGGCAATCTTTAATCATGTGTGGAGGGGAAGTAAAGTGCGTGAGTCCGCACTCAATATATTAATTAAATGTTTTAATTATAAGATGTTATTCTCCCCCCTTTCGAGAGCGCGCGGAAAAGTATGCTACGGATTTCACTCACTCGCGTATAAGCAAACACGGAAATGGAGATATATATATATTTCAATTGAAAGATGTTTGCACCCGAAGTGCAGACGCAATAGTTTCCGTATTTTCCCCATTTTCCTTATTTTCCCCCCTTCTGATTCCTTCCTTGGGAGAGAAGGAAGGATGGAGAGTGCTTGGGGCCATTTATCAGCACGTGAAAAGTTGCCAACTGCCAGCCAGGAACTTTAATAATGCAAAACTCAAACATTTTTCATCATCTCGTTATATTGAGACCTCCTAAACGAAGGGGGCGGCGCTCACTGAGTGGGCGTGGCCTGACACGCTGATCTCCTTATTTATGCATTTATTTGTTGACATTTTGCAGTCAAACTTGCTGAGCTGCAAATGGATAACTGGCTCTTTCTCTGACTTCGACGTTCGTCGTTCGTAAGGAAAGTTCAAAGTGTGTGCCCCAAAAAAAAGCAGAAGAAAAAAAAACAGAAAATATGTAAAAAATGCTACAAAATCGCATTGAAATGAGAATGCAGAGCAATTTTGTTATGCAAATGCGATACACACACAGAGGGAATCAGAGAGAAAAAGCGCACAATTGACAGCGACTGGAGAGAGCGTTCGAAATGGTAAAACTTGTGACATTTATTTATAGAGAGACAACAAACCGGATTCGGCCAGTCGTCCCATTACCCATGCCCCCGCCGGAGAAGTGGCTTTTAAATTCATTCCCGGATCCTACTTGGGGTCGCTCCTACGGTCAGCAAGTCAACACAGGAGTTTCTGCACCATTTACCTGAGAGCGTTGAGCATGGAGCGTCTTGCGAATGAAATCAAATTGGTGTGAAGCCAAAGAAAATGTTGTTGTTGCTGCTCCTGTTCAACAAGGACCAAAAGAATGAAATTGGGTACAAAATGGGCACTCAGAACAAGGAAGCGAAAAAAGGAAAGCGCTACGGCTGCTTCTGGCTCACCTCCAAAGCAAATAAATGCGAAAATGGAAAAGCGTTTCGCACGCATTTAAAATGGAAATCATTTATGGTCGAGCGGGCTTCCGGCACTCATTGTGTGTCGTCCCCGTCGCCCATTTGCATTTCCGGCAATTAACAAAGGACTCGGCCAAGGATAGTGCATCCTCTCAAACAAAACAAGCCAAGTGAACTCAGCCACGAATTGATGCATAGTCTTTTGTAATATATTTTGTAATATTTACAGGATATTTACTATAACTTCTTTTGTATGTTTCTCTTTTAATTTTTTGCAGTTTTTCAGCTTTTCATTTTTCTCTCTTTTTTTTTGTTTAATGCATTTTATATATAGAATGTGCAACATGGCGTATGAGCAATTAAAATGCCAACCAGCCAGCGCTTAAGCATAATTATCATAATTAATACCAAGCTTTGTAATCGACTAAAGCCCGCCCCAGCTTGGCGAAAGCAAAAACAATTTAAATGCGAGTATTTTATATGCAAAAATATATTTCACTCCATTTTATTTTATGTCTGACACACATCTCAACGGTTTAATTAAAAGGCATAATGCCTTAAGCCCGCCAGCAGCTCAGACCGAGTAGGGTTCGGGTACGTTTGGCCTGGAAGAAACAAAAAATAAAAAGTTACAATAAATTTTTACGACTCTAATGCGGAGCCCAAATGACACAGAAACCCTGAGGCATAAAATGGGGTAGGGCGGAAGGGTGGAAGGACACCATATGTGTGTCCTGGCAGGGGGCAAAGAGCAAACGCTTGTTAGCTTTCTCTTTTAATCAGCTCTCGACGCGTAGTTTTGCCCCGTCGTCTTCTTGCGGCTGAGCCAGATAATAGGACTGCTCTGGCAGCGCGTGTGTCCTCGTGGAAAAAGGGGGAAATATATGCTAATTTTAATTAGCCCAAAATTTACATATGCCACGCACACTATCCAACGTTTTCCTTGCTCTTTTCCAAGAGGCAGAGCCACTCAGTCACCACATACTACTCATGGCAATGCCAGAAATTGGTTAGACATTTTTTGGAGCGCAGCTCCTCGTCCTGCGGCACAGCTAATTCAATATTTCAATGAAGTTAAAAGTTCAGTAAGAGATTTCTATAATTAAATGGGATTACTTTCGTAAGTGAGTCTGCAGCAGAATTATAATTAGGGGGAGAAATGACAATGTTTTATGTCTGCAAAGTTTGAATTCTTATATTCTTAAGGCCACGAATCCTGTTTTTGTAATTATGTTTATATTTTATGTTGGGTCTTTTATGGATTTAAAGTTAAGAAGTTGTTGTGCATCATACATTTTGTATTTAAGATAAAAAATATAATAATGTATATATCATATCCTCTGTTGCATCAAATTTCCCAATTATATTTTATGATTTTTCATTTTCACATTGTCAATTTTAATGCTTAAAACATTTTCCTATTTGCATTTTAAATGGATTTTAAAAGCATTCAAAATGATGGCTAGACATTTCGTATAATTTATGGTGCAATCTGATGGCCTGATATAATAACAACCGCAACATATTTGTATAACTTTTCCCCCTTGGTTTTTGGTTAATTAAAAGTGGATATTGCTCAATTAAGTAGAGAATTTAATAAATATTCAATGAGGGGCTTACTTCTTGTTCACTTTTATTAAAATTTGAAAACTATGTCATACGGGCACATCAAACTTTTCGAATCCTCCCCAAATCCTTGACATTTTCCTTTACTGCCGTCTGGCCAAACAGAGGGAAAAAGCAATCATGCCTTTGTGGGCCGAGTCTCGAAAGTCTGAAGAGATCCTTTGCTCCTTTGCTCGCTTCAGCCTATTTGCTGCTGTTTGCCCCTTTTGAGGACCTTTGCTTTTTTATTTTTTTTTTCGAGGCGAAAAGTCGCAGTGCATTAAACTGGCGGGGAAGGAAAAACGGAAGGGAAATGGAGGAATAAAAGTCAGCCCGAGAGTCTTATTGTTTTCTGGTTTTTATCTACGAGCTGCTATTTCAGCTCTGTC